TGTGCAAGTATGAATTACACTGCAGTAAACATGCATGTGCAGGCGTCTTTTTAATATAGTAACTTTGATTTCCTTGGGGTAGATACCCAGTAGTGGGATTGCTGGATCAAATGGTAGATCTTTTTCTAGTTCTTTGAGAAATCACCATACTGTTTTTCACAGAGGTTGTACTAATTTACATTCCCATCGGTAGTGAATGAGTATTCCATTCTCACTGCATTAACACCTACATCTGTTGTTTTTTAAAAATGGCCATTCTTACTGGGGTAAGGTGGTATCTCACTGCAGTTTTAATTTACATATCCCTGATGATTAGTGATGTTGACCATTTTTTCATGTTTCTTTGTCACTCATATATCTTCTTTTGAGAAATATTTATTCATGTAATTTACCTACATTTTAATGACAGTATTTGTTTTTTTGTCTTACTGATTTGTTTGAGTTCCTTGTAGATTTTGGATATTAGTCTTTTGTCAGATGTATAGTTTGCAAATATTTTCTCCCTACCAAAAGAGAGCCCACATAGCCAAGTCAATTCTAAGCAAAAAGAACAAAGCGGGAGGCATCACACTACCGGACTTCGAACTATACTACAAGGCTACAGTAATCAAAACAGCATGGTACTGGTACCAAAAAAGAGATACAGACCAATGGAACAGAACAGAGATCTCGGAGGCAACACAACATATCTACAACCATCTGATCTTTGACAAACCAGACAAAAGCAAGCAATGGGGAAAGGACTCCCTGTTCAATAAATGGTGTTGGGAAAGCTGGCTAGCCATGTGCAGAAAGCAGAAACTGGACCCCTTCCTGACACCTCACACTAAAATTAACTCCAGATGGATTAAAGACTTAAACATAAGACCTAACACCATAAAAACCCTAGAAGAAAGTCTAGGAAAAACCATTCAGGACATAGGTGTAGGCAAGGACTTCATGACCAAAACACCAAAAGCATTGACAGCAAAAGCCAAAATAGACAAATGGGACCTAATCAAACTCCACAGCTTCTGCACGGCAAAAGAAATAGTCATTAGAGTGAATTGGCAACCAACAGAATGGGAAAAAATTTTTGCAGTTTACCCATCTGACAAAGGGCTGATATCCAGAATTTATAAAGAACTAAAACAGATTTACAAGAAAAAAACTAACAAGCCCATTCAAAAGTGGGCAAAGGATATGAACAGGCACTTTACAAAAGAAGACATACGTGATGCCAACAAACAAATGAAAAAATGCTCATCATCACTGGTCATCAGAGAAATGCAAACCAAAACTACATTGAGATACCATCTCACGCCAGTTAGAATGGCGATCATTAAAAAATCTAGAGACAACAGATGCTGGAGAGGATGTGGAGAAATAGGAACACTTTTGCACTGTTGGTGGGAGTGTAAATTAGTTCAACCATTGTGGAAGACAGTGTGGCGATTCCTCAAGGACCTAGAAATAGAAATTCCATTTGACCCAGCAATCCCATTACTGGGTATATGTCCAAAGGATTACAAATCGTTCTACTCTAAGGACACGTGCATACGAATGTTCATTGCAGCACTGTTTACAATAGCAAAGACCTGGAACCAACCCAAATGCCCATTGACAATAGACTGGATAGAGAAAATGTGGCACATATACACCATGGAATATTATGCAGCCATCAAAAACGATGAGTTTGGGTCCTTTGTAGGGACATGGATGAACCTGGAAACCATCATTCTCAGCAAACTGACAGAAGAGCAGAAGATCAAACACCGCATGTTCTCACTCATAGGCGGGTGCTGAACAAGGAGAACACATGGACACAGTGGGGGAGCACTACACACTGGGGTCAGTTGGGGGGAAATAGGGGAGGGACGGTGGGGGGTGAGGAGCTGGGGAGAGATAGCAAGAGGAGAAATGCCAGATATAGGTGATGGGGAAGAAGGTAGCAAATCACACTGCCACGTGTGTACCTATGCAATAATTTTGCATGTTCTTCACATGTACCCCAAAACCTAAAGTGCAATAAAATAAATAAATGGGGGAAAAATATTTTCTCCCATTCTGTAGGTTGTCTGTTCACTCTGTTATTTCTTTGATCATGCAAAAGGTGCTTAGTTTAATTGGTCCCATTTATTTATTTTTGTTTTTGTTGCATTTGTTTTTTACCATAAATTATTTGTCTATGCCTATATCTAGAAGAGTTTTTCTTAGGTTTTCTTTGAGAATTTTTACAGATTCAGATCTTAGATTTAAGTCTTTAATTCACCTTGAGTTAATTTTTGTATATGGTGAGAGATAGGGATCCAACTTCGTTCTTCTATATGCGGCTATCCAATTTTCCCAGCGTCATTTACCGAATAGAGTATATATTCTTTTCTACTATATTCTGTTCCATACTCTGCTCCATTGGTCCATGTGCCTACTTTTATACCAGTGCCATGCTGATTTGGTAACCATCGACTGGCAGTATAACTTGAAGTTCAGTAATGCGATGTCTCCAGGTTTGTTCTTTTTGCTAAGGATTTCTTCAGCTATTTTTTGGTTCCATATAAATTTTAGGATTGTTTTTTCTAATTCCGTGAATAATGATGTTGGTATTTTGATAGGAATTGCACTGAATCTGTAGAATGCTTTGGGCAATATGGTGATTTTTAAAATATTGATTCTTCCTATCCATGAGCAAGGGATATTTTTCTATTAGTCTGTGTCAGCTGTGATTTCATTCATCAGTGTTTTGTGGCTCTTATTGTAGTGATCTTTTACCTCCTTGGTTAAATATATTCCTATTTTATTTTTTTGTAGCTATTGTTAATAAAATTGAATTCTTGATTTTATTCTCAGCTGGTTGTTACTGGTATACAGCAGTGCTATTGATTTATGTACACTGATTTTGTAACCTGAGACTTTACTGAATTCATTTATCAAATGTAGGAGTCTTTTGAGAGAGTCTTTAAGGTTTCCTAGGTATATGATAATATCATTAGCAAACAGAAATAATTTGATTTCATTTTTTCAAATTTGGATGCCCTTTATTTCTTTCTCTTGCCTGATTGGTCTCGTTAGAGCTTCCAGAATGAGAGTTCTTAAGAGAAAATAATGCACTTTGCTTTCTAGGCAAAAAAAGGATTGGCTCAGCAAGCCTAAAGGGTTCAAATCCTGCACACTCTAAAATAAGTTCTGTCCCTTGAATGACTCCTGGGAAATAAACTTCACAATCTTGGAATATTCTGCTGCATAACAGATCTTTCTTTACCTTGGGACTTGGCCCATGCCAGATGGTTGATGCTAAAAATGTGACTTATGGCTGGGCTTTCAGACCATGAGATATCAATTTGACCTCTGGAGAGATGGGAGACTAAGTAATTAAGATCAGTCTTGTGGGATATTTGATGGCTACCTAACTGACCTCCCAATAAAAATCCTGGACGCCAGAGCTAGGTGAGGTTTCCTGGTTGGCAATGGATATGGTTGCTGGAGAGTCAAGCATTATCCATCCATCTCCACTGAGCAAGGATACCTAGAAATTTGTACCTTGTCTCTCCTAGACTCTGCCAAGAATGACTTTTACCTTTTCTGATTTTATCTGTATCTTCTCAAGGTAATAAACTGTAATTATGAATATAACTGCTATTCAGAGTTCTGTGAGTCCTTCCAGGGAATCACTGAGCCTCAGAATAGTCATGGGGCTCCCCAACACACTCTTTCAACAGTAAGTAATGAAGAGAAGCTATGCTGCAGGTAGAAAAACATATCAGAATTGAATCCCCACTCTGCCATACACCTCTGGGTGATCTCATTGAAATCAGTTTACTTGTTCATCTCTTTTGAGATTTAAATAAGATTCTACATTATATATTTATTCATTTTAAAAATAAATATTCATTGAATGCACCATCTTTTTGTCACATAGATGTTCAAAAAGTGATTAAGGTTAGAGATGATTAATTTATTTGGCCAGCATGTGAGCTTCTTCACTCTATTTTAAGTTCGTTACATTAGGACTCTAAATTTGGACATAGTTCCCCCTACACATTTGTAGACAGGTATGTTCACAGTTTGTAGTTAATAAATTAACATTTTCATATGGTTACTTGGCTGCCATTTTCTCTTTAGTATCTTGAGCCAAGTCCTCTGGTTTCAAATAGTCTGTTTTTTAAATCAACTAGAGACTCAGGAAAACAGCCTACATATAAAAATCCCTGAGACAGTGCCAGAATAATATTTGGAATATAGTAAGTGTTAGTTGAACATAAACACCTAGAGGATTTTGTTCCAAACACTATTTAATAGGTATATACATTATCTTTCTTATCCAATAACTGAAATACCAGAAAAACAAAGACTCAGGATATGGGACAAAATATGATGTTTTTACCCAGTTTTTTGTTCTTTCTTTACCAGTGTGTACTACACTGGAGGTTTGCCTTTGCTGTGGGGTCAATTGTGTCCCCCCAAAAGATGTATTGGGGCTCTAATCCCTGATACTTGTGAATGTGACCTTATTTAGAAACAGAGTCTTTGCAGATATAATAAATCTATAATGAGGCCATACTTAATTAGGGCAAGCCCCAGTCCAATGACCGAAATTCTTACTAGAACAGGGCAACTTGGACATAAAGGGAAGATGGTCTTGAGGAGTCAGAAGCAAAGATGACTGTTATGCTGCCGTGAGCCTGGAAATGCTAAAGATCGCTAGCAACCACCAGAAGCTGGAACAGACAAAGAAGGATTTTTCCTCAGAGCCATCAGCGTGAGCATGATCCTGCCAACACCCTGATCCCAGACTTACGCCTTCAGAGATGTCAGATAAGTTTCTGTTGCTTTACATAAAGCTACCCAGTTGTGGCAGTTTGCTACTGAGGCCCAGGGAGCCAATACACAATGCATTCCCCATTCTATTTTGCCATACATAGGTCTTTGGTCTTTGTCTATTCTTGCATTGTCAGAATATAATCTGCTTCCTGGAAGGTAGAAGGAAGCAGCCAGGAAGTTGGAGGCAAAAGGAAATGACTCACCACGGGACTCCGGCCAACGCTGCTCAGGTGGTAGAGGAGTCCTTTGGCATGGTAAATCGTTGGCTGCAGATGAGCACTGGGAGAAAGCCATTGTCTGTTCAAATCTTCCCCACTCAGCGAGCATCTGTGGCTACAGGAAGAAACAATAAGCAAATAAATACACATTCAGGAGAAAATAACTTGAGAAAATAAAGCTCCGCAAGATAAACAATTAAACTAATGAATTCAAAGCTTTCCTCTGGTTTCTGCCCAATTGGCATCAATTTCAGATGTCCAGAAAGCTGTAGATCTGTCATTTAAGCTCCAAAGTATCACGATTATTCACAACCCCAAAAGGAACTAGAAACCGTATTTGACTTACTATTGACTTACTATTAACAGAGTTTTAAGACAGAGTTGGAAAATGTAGTTCCCAACTATACACATCCATGGGGAATAAATTGAATAAATTTCTCTAGGCTATGGGTTCTTCGGTTCTACGGATAATTAAGTCACATTCAATCTGTGGTACTGGGTATGTTACATATGATATTTCCAGCTGGCTCAATTACTCTGCAAGGTAGATATTACAGCACTCCGATGAAGAGAATGAGGCTTAGAAATGATTAAATAAATGGCTGGAGATCTAGGCCATAAGAAAGAGCTAGGCTTCCCCCCCAGGTTTATTGGTTTCTAACCCTTATTCTCTTTCTTCTCTTGCACTGCTTGACATTTACCAAGAGAATCAGAGTACCTTTTACAAATATATCATCGTGGTGTATTAGGGCAAGAATGAGCCCAAAATCATCTATTCCCTCATTTGGGGAATGATGATGTTCATATTGGAAAGTACCGAGTTACTTTACAAAAGTGACCCAGCTGATAGTGAGAGGGTTGACTACCACTGACAGTGAGGAAACTGAGATGCTGAGTTGTCAGGCAGCGTGGTCCTGAAAACCCACAACCACCAGAGATTACCAAGTCCAGCCCCTGCACAGGAGACGTTCCCAGCGGTCCTGCTAAGGTGTCATTTACTCACTAGGGTCAGTGAGCTAAGGACCACAGGTCTGGAGGATCAGCACGTCGTCTCCATCACCTCCAGCACGCCCTCTCCTCCCAAGCCCTACGCCCTTGTCCTTCTGCAACCAAGCTCTATGGGATCACTAACAGTTTCCACTTGACTTATGGCCTCCAGAAATGTGAGATGAACTTCCGTTGTTTTAAGCGACACAATTTGTGGTAGTGCGCTACAACAGTCCTAAGAAACCAATACACAATACATCGCCCATTCGATCTTGTTATCCGTAGGTCTTTACTGGGACTCTCCCAACTTCGTGCACTCTTCAACTTTTAGGGTATCAATCCGCAGGGGAACTTTCTATGACTTTCCAGGCTACTGCATCCATCTCCTATTTCCTACAAAATAACATCCTGAGGCCCCCTTAATCAGAGTCCTTATGGAACCATTTTGGATGCATTTTTACTGTCATTTCTCTTGACTTCCCGATTAAACTAGGAGCTTCATTGGGCCAGGGACAGTGGCAGTCTCTTGGTCACCATCAAAACTCTAATATAGTAACTCCACCAGGTTATTGGGTAAATAATTTAGAAACAATAAATTCACCAGCATTTATACATACAATCAGATATCATTTCTGTTTTGCTTTGTTTCAAATGCACTGTTTTCAACAAACATTAGAGCCAAGAAGAAGGTTCAGCCTTCTCCTTCTACCACTTATTCATTTCCATGTTCCTGAAATTATCTTTAAATATTAGCTTCCTGCTGCCTGTCAGGCCCTCTTACAACTTACTGGAAACTGAAAATCTTTAGATTAATCACTTATCCTGATTTCTCCATTAAAATATTTTGACTTGATAAATGATAGGTCTTGCGCATGCGCCTCTCTGGCTTTTTTGGTCTTTGCCTGCTTTTTTTCTCCCTTTCTCCTTTTAATAGCAATGACATCTAGAAATAGAGTTTATCAGTTCTGCCTGGTGACCAAGGATGAAGGTAAAATATGAAGCAGATTTTCAATGCCAACAGCAACAGAAAGGAACAGGCAGCCCAGGCTTGCTCCCGAGCACATTTGCTGTGTTTAAAAACGAATTTCTTTTCTCAAATCAAGCAACTTGCAGGCACGGCATCCCAGAGCCCCAGGTTGCTCTTTGACGGCTCTGTGATTTCTCCTTGCCTTGACCTGTATTCTCATCAGCACTGGAGATTTGTTTTTTCCTTTGTAACATCAACTGTGATGAAATTAGTTGAGGACCTTTAAAAGCATTTCTGTCTGCGTAAATGAAAATGCAAGCATGACATGTGTCCAGCAGCCAGCAATTCTGTATCAACTCTCTCTACATCTCTATGCTCCATGGAAACCAAGTTCAGGGGCAACATGTACAGAGAGAAGGCTTATGCATTACCACTTTACATAAGTATTATTTTAGATCACGATTCCCACGAATAGAAAAAATAAAGTTTTGTGCTGCAGCCAGAAGCAGCCCAAGTTTGAATAGGAAGCTTAGTTCCAACTCCCAGCTGGCACCAGATACAGGATTTGAGACCTCTTGGAGAGTTAACGTTCTCATATGTGAAATAAATAAGCCAAACCTCTCCACAGCTTTATTTTGAGGCTCGAATGAGATATCTTTTTTGGATATCCCTATAAGAAATATCATAAGCTTCCATCTCTGCCTATGTTTGTGTCCATGACTATAACCACATCTATATGTATGTCTACACCTTCATCCACCTCTAAAATGCTCTGGGATGCATTTAGACCAAAGCACAACTTTGACTACATTAATTTGTTCCTTACCTCATCCTAATATTTGTTTTCTTATGAAGAATAGTTAGATTGCTATATGAAAGGTGGACGGAAGCGAGAAGTGGCTTGACTAGGAACTCCAGCCAAGAGGCTTTGGTCAGTTTTAGGTATCAGTTGACTTGAACACACCCAAGGGTAGAGGCAGTAGGCTGAATAGAAAAGAATTTAGCTAAGAAAAAATGCAAAGGAATAATCAGTAGACATTGCTGATTGAAATTTGGGCTGTTAAACAGTGCCCAAAGGAGGACCGCATGAAAGATCATCTAAATATATAGATTCGGAGAGAAATTAGGCCAATGTGAGACACACAGAAGTTAAGAACGCTCTTATTTTAGGGACAATTTGATCTGTTTGTTTTCTGTTTTAGAGCAGTAAAGGCAATGAATCATTCCATTCGTGTACATAGGTTGTGTGGATTTGGGGAGCCCATATGATGGTATTTCTCTTCAAAGCTCTATGGGGGTGATGATTTGGAGAGCATCTCGGTGTGTGCCTAAGGCTTTGGCAGTCCCTGTATCTAAGCAATTGCAGGTTATTATAATATATACAACACCTAACTTGAGTGCTTTTCCTTTTAAAGCAAATCCATTTGCTTCCAATCTCTGAATCCAGTTGGCATTTTGTGTTAATAATATCAGAGATCTGTGCAGTCAGAGGAACTGTTGCTGCTCTTCCCAGGGATTTGTTTTAAGCATCTGAAGATGAAATGCGCCCCATCTTATTATCTACTGTAGCGTTTCTGAAGTGACAGCTGCTCCTTCTAAGGGGAGAGAATTAGCAGATGGACAGCGATGACTGGCTGGCAATAAATTCAGTGCCTATAATTTCTGAAAAGCAGTCCCCTTCTCAAATAGTTTGAAGTTCTTCTTTCTTTACAAGAATCATGAAATGGTGATTATCGCTACAGTTGGTCCCCTATATCCACGAATATGGAAGGCCAACTGTACTAAGCCATTTTATATAAGGAACCTGAGCATCCACGAATTTTGGTACCCATGGTGGTGGGTGTGGGGAAGGTGTCCTGGAACCAATCATCTGCAAACACCGAAGGATGATGTGATTCTTCCCTCCACTGAAAACCGCGAAGTTACAAGAAAAAATTATCCACCTTATTTTGTTTTTCACAGATAAAGACATTTGATCTGACTAGTCCTTCTCATTTTAAAAAGCTTTAGTTTAAATACAGACTAGTTTAAGATGAAGTTTATATGCACTAAATACGCTAGATCTAGGGTGCTCAGATACCCAGTTTGTCTAGGAATGTTGCATGTTTAGCTTTGAAATGCCTGCATCCCAGTAACTCTCTCAGCACATGCAAACCAGAGATGGGATGCCCTTGCCTAGATCCTTAATTTTAGAAGGTGATGCAAAGCTAGAATACTTGGCCAGAACTAGGCTGAATTATTCTGCACCGACGGAATGTTTTTAGGTGGAACATTTGCAGTCCTCTAGGCTCAGATGTCTTCACTGCCTCTGTTTACCTTGACTGTTTCCCACAGCCATTATCTTCCCGTTCTTTTCAGGCATTTGCAGCCAAAGTCTGGAAAAGCCCTAATCTTTAAAACTGAGGTTTTTGTGGGGCAGATCTTTTTCCTTAAGAAAAGAGAAAAAAGCTTCTGATCTCCAGAAACTATGGTCATTTTATGACCAAACAAAAGCATCTCAACTGAAATTATCGAAGAGTCAATCAGCAGCACTAGTCCTAACTAAAGGTCACTGAATGGAAACCATCAGCTGGACGATTCTGCGTAAAATAGAACCACAAAGGCTGGACAGTCTAAAGGACAGTGATGTGACTGAAAGTCATTCTTTTAACATTAATTGTGGATCTTGTTTCTCTGCTGAGAACAGGGATCATCCAGAGATGGGTAAACAAATAATACAACCAAGGGCTTTTTAACCAGATACTGGATTACCAGGACCCCTAAAGCAAAGAAAGGACCACAAGCAGAGAAAGAGGCAAAGTGAGTCACTTTTTTAAAAAGAATCTATAGAGCTACCGTCAAAATACAAAAGGATTCAAGATTCACCCATTAGTCCATGACTGAAAGACAGAGGGATAGAGCCCATCAGACTGAATGAATGATAATATGGATAATTGATAATATGGAGCCTGCAGCACAGCAGGCTCTGGAGCCTAAAGAGAGGCAGCACGTTTGAGAGTAGGCAGCAGCTTCGCCATTCGCTGCACATCCGAGGTGTGGGAGGCAGCAAGGGTACAGGAGGAGAATATCTATGAAGGCAAAAAGATGTATGACAACTTCAAGAACATGATGGAACAGCAGGGGGGACTATCGGCCAGACACTGCACCCAGAGCTTTCCAAA